TCACACCCCCCCCCCGAAAAAAAAATTGATGGGCCATGTGAAAAGACCATCTGCCCAGCAAAAGGAGGCCCTCAGCAGCCAGCCTGATGCTCAGCCTCAGAGAAATTTCACAAGCCCACAAGCCTGCTGGATTGTCCCCTGACGGGGCCTGAACACTCTCAGCTGTCCCAAAACTAAAAAATGTTTAAAAACACATTTTGTCTGCGCCAACTCACTCATCCTCAGAGACATGCCCAGGGCTCTCACTGAAGCCCAGCCTAAAATCTTGGGCTTGGCAGTACACCAAGCCCTTCATCTTGTGGTCCAGAGTCCAAGGCTCTGGCATGCACTCTCAACATGGCAGGTCTCGGGGCGAAAAAAAAAATTCTAAGCCTAGAGACGGCCACCAAAGATTGCATGGCCCACACCCAGAGTTGAACTCCAAACTGTTTTATTGCCAGATTAAGACTCAGGCCAGGGAGTCACAGAAGAAGCTATTCTGCTTGCCTCTCTTCAGGCCCAGCGCTCATGCCATCACCTGCTGCCAAAGTGCACAAAAAACCTAGAGCCCTTGGCCACCCAAAAGAAGACCACAAAAAAAAAAATTGACAGCAAAAAAGAGGCCATGAGCAGCCACAAACGCTTTTATCTGCCAGCCTGATGCTCAGCCTCAGAGATATTTCACAAGCGCACAGGCCTGCTGGGTTCCTCCCTGACAAGGCCTGAATGCTCTCAGCTGCCCCAACACTAAAACATTCTTTAAAAAGGCATTTTGACCACACTGTCTCTCCCATCCTCAGAGACATTCCCAGGGCTCCCAGTGGAACCCGTCCTAAAATCTTGGGCTTGGCATGACATGCCGAATCTCCATGGAGGTTTTGGAATGCCATGCCAAACCCTGCATCTTTGCACGCTGGAGCCCTGGCACTCAGATGGGCTCTGAAGTGCATCTCAGCATGGCATGCTTCAGGCTACAGGGTAGCAGATGGCATTCAGGTGAGTCAAGTGACCCTCTAGGTTTGGGGCTTGCAGTCTATAACCCCAGCCATAAGGCAGAATAGACAGCCTGCTGCTGGCCAGGTAACATCTGGTGGAATGTGGCTGGGACAGTAGGGGAGGTGGAGGTCCCAGTAGGCCCAGGGAGCAGATGCCAGGGGGGCCTGGAATGAGTAAGTGGCCACAGGACTCCAGGAGGGCTAAGAAGAGCCCAGGTGGGGCTGGATTTCAGAACTTAAGCCTTAGAGTTTAAAAGTGCTTTAAACTGTACTTTGTGTTTCTTTCCCCTTTGTTTTATAATAAATCCAGCTTTTGTTGGTACATTGCTTGCAAGGGAGAAGTTTGTTCATTCAGGACACCCCAGTATAAATCTAGTTGTCCCAGGTGTCTGACAGGGGGCTTGAGCCAAAGCTGAACTTATTTGGGACCCCCCCAAAATTTGAACCTTATTTTTGCTAACAGGTACAGAGAGCAGACCAGCAGGGACCAGCACTGCTCAGAGCCACAAAGCAGCAAGGGGGACAGCCACAGCTCGACCTGTGTCCTGGTACAGAAGCTGCCAGGAGGGAGCAAGTGGAGAGCAGGCAGAAGCTGCAGGTCAGGAGTGAGGGGTACTGGCAGGGCTGGGGTGCCATGGCTTGGGACTGACAGGCACCAGCATGTCAGGGCTTCTTAGCAGCACAAAACAGCAGGAGAGGGACAGCCACAGTCGGACCCGCATCCTGATATGGAAGGAAACTGCTGCTGGGAGGGACCAAGTGGGGGGTTAGGCAAGGGCTGCAGGTCAGGAGGGGCATTGGCATTTCAGGGCTGCTCAACACCACAAAACAGTGGG